CTACTAGCGCATTTATATCAAAGTTAACGTTACGATCTATCCGAGAATAAAATTTTAAATTTATATATACCTGGGTAGCTTTACTAGTACCTCCGATGCCTTTGACTACAGGACATGAAAGTGACCTATTTATTACTAAGCCTAAGCACTGACAACATTGTCGCGTTATAAAGCTATTTTGGGCTCCGCTGTCCAGCAGTGCATGGACGCTTTGTTCGTTTCCACGCGAATCCCTAACCAAAATACGCGCCGTACCCAGTAACACGGTTGAAGGAGGTTGTGCTCCCATATTCGCCAATGAGCACAGAGCGACATCACCAGGTCGACCGCTAGAATCGTTGACTTTAGTAGGGGTGAATTCCTTGTCCGCTTTACTTGACGCCGCTATGTTGCTATTTTCAAAATGTAATAGCGTGTGATGTTTCCTGGCGCACTTGCTACATACGGAACTCGAATTGCATTTTCAACTAAATGCTTATCACTTAAGCAGTTCAGACATAGGTTGTTTGTCTTTACTAATTTATAACGTTCCTTGGTATATTTAGAAGTCGCACAATTATATAAATTACCGTGTTTATCTTTACATACGATACAAGCATGCTGAAGTGATGCTGACGTAGCGGTTACGTAAGTTAATGACCCTGCTATTTTAGATGGTTGAGTCTGTCTACGGTCGACGCACCTTTTAATCTCCTGTTTAACGTTCGGAGAGCGCTGCTTCACCTTTATTTGATCTCACACGAACGATGCTAATGAATGAAAGGAAGGCATCTCCGAGCTACGATGCTCCATTTCAAATGCACGCACGGTGTCGGGGTCTAATTTCTTTAGTGCAATATGGAGAAACACCACATCCATAAGGTCATTAAATTTCAAATTCTTAAGTGCAGCCACCTATGCCACAAATTTATCTAAAAACTGCTCTAAGCCGTTGACGTTCGCGGATGATATAGGTCTAAGATCGAATATCTGGTTCAAATATTCGGAAGCTAACATTCTCCTCTCTTCATATTTAGTTTTAAGCGTTTCGAATATTAACAAGTAATTGTTTGCTGTAGGTGTAAAACCCGAGCAAATTGACTGTGCCCTGCCACTAAGTTTACTAATTAAATAATATAATTTTTCAGCGTCCGATAACGATGGGTTATTGTGTATATTGTTTTGAAAACTACTGAAGAAGGGCCATGTCTTAATATCACCATTGAATACCGGAATATCTATTGGCGGCAACCTAATTGAGTCACGTGGACGTACCTCTATTTCCGGCTTTGCTTCGTTTTGAGATGGAGATTGTAAGTGTTTCGCCGTTCTTTTCACGCGACACAACATATCTTCAAATGCTAGAAGCGGTTAGTAGTTCACTATGTATTTCGGGTCGATTTGTAATTCCAAATGATTAATTTGGTCTAATATTCTTTCGTAATCCGTCCGCAAAGAATCCACCGTTTCAATTTCATTCAAAAAAGTTTCCCGCACTGCTTCTACATTAATGTTCTTTATGTGATCACTAATACTTTGTATACGTGAAAAAAGTATGTCCCTCTTGGCATAAAGCGTTTTAATTTTAATTTCATTTCCACTAACTGCCATTTTAAATTATTATAATAAAGTTATATTAATCACAATTAATCTCACAACGCACAAATAATTGAGGATATAGGACTCGGTATGCCGTATTACGTAATTAAATCGAACACCTGTTACAGCGAGTCGAGGTGACGCGTTGCTCGCCAAACTCAATATTTTTATCAAAATTGTCGGGTAAGCGTAACAAACGGTTGCGATTACACTGTTTCAATTATTTAAGCGACTAATAAGCTTTAAATTTAAACCAAATACAAACACTATTTAAATGAATAATTCTGTTTGCGAGTACCTAACCAAAATTTAAATTTAAACGAACACTATTTAAGACTATTCCATAAACTAGAGTGCATTATCTAAATGATTAATTTAATAATTCGACCAGAAAATGGTTGAACGACTACTAAACACCAGTCCAAATCCTGCCGAAGTGACCATAAAATGGTGGAGCGTCGAGCCTAAGGTTGCCGAAGTCTAATTCCCCGGTCGAACCTTAAACCTATTACGCGAGATATTAATCAAAGTGGACTGTATCTTCGAAATGTTTCTTCGCTTATATAACGACGACTATAGCGTGCGGTACAATGCACTCGCTCTTCCCTAAAACGAACTATTATTTGCCAAATCGATGAAAGGAATCCTGCTTGATTAGGAGAAAACAAAATTGGAGCGGGTTAAACACAATTATATCAAGCAGGCAATATTATTAGGAATATTCACTCACCGGGGTGTTTCTTCTATGCTGTTGGGCACTATAGCTGCGACTTCTGGAACTTCTTCTAGAACTATTTTTCACACGGGGTGAGGCGGGTTTCCTGGAGCTCGACTGCTTCCAGGCTAAAGCGGTTCTACTAGCGGTGTGGTTCCAACAACGAGCGTGGCGGGAAGAGCTCTTTAGGACTCTATTATCCTAGGCGGTGTGGTTCCAACGACGAGCGCGGCGGGAAAAGCTCTTTAGGACACTATTATCCTAGGCGGTGTGGTTCCAACGACGAGCGCGGCGGGAAGAGGGTGCGCGTCGGTCGCGCGTGCCTTTTATACCTTCGGTTGGGATGATTACGTGATATTCTAGAATCATCTTCTTTCCCCTCCCACCCCACCACCCCCATGTGTCGATAGGAGGGTATGAATGATATCGTTTTGGAAAGGGATAAGCGATTTGGCAGCCTACCGTCAAAATAAATAAATACGAATGGTTTTCCGCGCAACCAAATACAATTATTAGTACGCTATGTTCTGTCTTAAAGACGTACAAATATAAGTGTGTGTTCGTATGAGAATCATGCAATAAAAATAAAATAGAATAAAAATTAATGAGATTGTAACACTAATTAAGATTCTAAATTGATAAAATTAAATAGATGACACTAACAAAATAATATGATTAGTCGATATAATTTAAAGTTAATATAATTAGTCAAAATTATCATTCAAGGATTCGTCAATTTTAGAATAACATTTGTCTATTAATAATTCATTAACCTCTTTCTTAAATTTAAATAAGTTCATATTTTTTATTGTATCAGGTAGTTTATTATAAATTCGTGGGGCAATACCAAAAAAGCTTTTTTTCATAAGTGATGTTTCACATTTTATTTAACATAACCTATCAACGCATTGGATTCTTTCTAATTGTAGATAATTTTTGAAAAAGAAATGGATACTTTTTTACAAAAATTGCTGATTCCAGAATATACAGTGATGGCAGTGTTAGGATTTTTAAAGATTTAAAATAAAGAAAACAACTGTCTGTTATTTTCAGACCACACATTGATCTTACACATCGTACAACAAGCTCCCCATCAGAAGACTGTCCCCAGAAAATAATGCCATATCGCAAAACGGAAGCAACTAGTCCATGGTATGCTGTCAAAAGAGCCTGGATGTTAACCTTTTTTGAAAGTTGAAAAAGTGCATATGCAGATTTGCTGAGACGTTTGCATAGATCCTCAACATGAGGCTTCCAAGTGAGTTGGTTATCAATAATTATACCCAAGAATTTAGTCATAATTGCTTCCTCAATATTAAAGCCTTGGTAGGAAATGTTAATATTTGGGTTTTGACGGCGTTGGTAGAAGTGCATAATTTTTGTTTTATTTAAATTTATAACTAAATTATTATTATTAAGCCACTCTATAATTTCGCATAAACAGGTATTGATATCACTTTCATAATTAACTTGGTTTGTACACTTTATTATAGCGTCTTTGCATATAGAAATGGCTGAGCCTCCACCTATATTATAAGCACTTCAGGATCTACAACCCACGACATCGTATCGAAGTTCTAATGACGTAAATACAAACGAAACGTCCGACTGCTGAGCGAGGGCGCGACGCACTGATGCAGCGCCGGCGCTTTTTTAGCACTCGTGTGAATAATAATAAGAAGTTTCATATGATCTATAGGCGTGGGCGTTTTTGGATTTGAACGCAAACCGATATTTATCTGATTTCAGATTTCAAAATCGATTTCAAAATCAGTTTTTAAAAATCCGATTTCAGTATCGCTTAGCCACGCCAATTCGTTTACGTACTTCGATTTCGTTTTATAAGTTAACAAAACGACGAACGCAAATCTAACTAATACAGAAACAGATTTGCGAGATTATCCTTCATGCTTTAATATAGGCTTAGAAAAATTTTGTATGAAATTAGAACTTTTCCGGCGCATTAATCGCAATAATCGGTATATTTGCAATGATTTCTTATTATATTTTTTCGGTTTCTTTTCGCTTTTTTATTTTTTAATTTTTTATTTCAGAATCTGTTTGGATTAAGATTTGCGTTTAAAAACGCAATTTGCTCCACTTTAGACGACACCTCTTTTCATTTATTATTAATCCCGTCTTTGAAAAAATTCGTTCGCACGGAAAGGATGTCGCAATATATTTCCGACAAATGCGGATAAATTATTTTATGATCAATAACTTACTCACTTTAAACGTACACTCACATACAATTATATCGATTGGAAACAAAACTTGTCAAATCCATTGGGGATGACTTATGGGACTGAAGGATTTTTTGTTCTGAGCTGATTGCACAAGCTGTATGTAGAGTTTATATCATTATGGCTTCGCCTAAGTTGGTATTACTGATTTAAAAAAAAACATATATAATCAAAGACCAAAAAAATTAGAAAATCGAGTTTGAAGTTTGGATTTGACCAATTTCGAAACCAAGCTATGGATTTGACTAGTTTTGTTACTAATGTAGTTGATTTGACCATGTTTGATTCTTAGTACCATGGATTTGGTAGATTTTGATACTGAAACTTTATTATGTCAGGGGTTACCAATATTTCGGGTTGGTTGGGTTGGGTGTGTAATATCAATAAATTAATAAAACTTTAAAATCGATTTCTTTTATTTTAAATCCTTTATTCATCATATCAACATTATATCTGAAATTTCTTTAAACAAATATAGCTGGTAATTCTTCAGTGAACTCACATTGTTCATCATCGTGTTCATGAGCATGAGCACTAGATGGTTTAGGTCTTGATAATACTTGTTTAAAATACAATAAATTTATATGTTCTTCCCAGTTCTCTCCAAAATATTTGATTAATAACTTGGTTACATCAACTAATTTTTCTTGTTTTACATCAGCGTATAACTTTACTACATCTGGGTTTATAACAGAAACTGTCTTTTTTCCTTTACAAATGTTTTGATACTTATTTAAATTGTTTTGATAAGACTCTTCTGCTCGAATGTACACATTTCGTTTGTCACGAGTTCTTTTAAGAAAAAATCTTTTTGATTTCTTTATTGAGAAATGCATGTTGCTTGTAGATTTAGAGTAGAAAGACTTCAGCTGATGATCGTTTCCAGTCGTAAATTTTTATATCCAGTCCCAAGTAGTATATGGTTCCATGACCAGTAAAAATTTCGTAAAAATCATCAGGGTTAGTCATTACCTCACGCCTTTTAATCTCTTTTTAAATTTTTGCAAAAACTCTATCTGGTGGCAAAAATGAATGGCCAACAACTGGCAACAAGATTTCTAGGCCGACAATGTGTTTTGGTGCATGATCTTGTAACCATTTAGCTGCCATAGCAGGAACAGATTGGTTTTTGTTTTGGCCACTGCAGCCATCTGCGCTTGCTATTTCGTTTGAAGCTTTTGGCAAGACATCTTCTGTTCAAGTGTAGATAAATTTATTCAAAGGCGTTTTTGAATTTCCGACCACCAGAGTAAAGTTGTATACATACAACTGCCTTAACTTTTGAACAAGATTAATTCTTTTGGCAGTCAAAAGATAGAATCAAAAGGTTCTCGCTGTCGTCTTTTAATAAACGATAGAATGCTTTGGCACGCAATTTATGTATTCTGCTCTCGATCATTAATGTATTTTTTGCTTCATTGTTTTTCTCATGCTTCGTTCTTGTAAACATAAGCAAGTGGAGCACGTATCAGTTCGGAGAGACCCAAAACCTATGTTAAAATTGATCCTAAAAATTTCTATGAAGGAAGACGGCTTAATGTTTTTATGTTCTTCAGTGGTTTCTGCAATAAACATTTTGTAAAGTTTATTAATATTGAGTTCCGATAATAAATATTGTCTGCATTTTATTTTACTTCTGCAGTAATGTATTTCTAAGGGCACAAGCTTTTTAATAAAGTCTTTGACAGCTTTTCTTTTTGGTGCATATTTTTATGTTTTACGCCGTCCCCCTCTATTCTCTTGTGCAGGTTCCCCCATTGCTTTGAAGTGTCGATTAATAACATCGGTCACTCTTCCTTTTTTTAAAGCCAAAATAGATAAAAATGTGCGTTTGCAAACTGGAAACAGAATGTGGCGTCGTCGTGCAAAGTATATTACCGCCATTTCTTTTTTATTACCATGATTATTTATTGGCCGATGTCTCTTAGTAGAACAAACTTTTGTATGAGTTATTATAAAGTTATCCTGATAAATTTTGTCCGGTTTTTTGTAGAAACGTCTATTAAATGCTATTATATCAGCATGACTCAATGAAGTGCACCTGTATGCTTTTGTATAGTGATTACATGGAATTCTTAAATTTGGTGGCTCTTTCGGAGCATACCTGAAATAATAAAAATTATAAATATTTTAAAAGTAAGTATTCATATGTTACATTTATTATAGCTACCTTTAATTTTTTGTAGTTATTTAAATATAATATGTATGTATTTAGTATAATTTTATATCCGTCTATCTCTGTACCACATTTCATTAAAATCAGATCAGTAGTTTAGGCGTGAAAGCGTAACAGACAGACAGACACTTAGGCATTTATTATATTAGTAGGGATTAGTTAGAGATAGAACATGGTTATACTTAAACACTTGCGTTATCAAGGCGAATCTAAGACATATAATTTATCGCAATCGGTTTTCTTATTTTAGCAATTTTAAGAAACATAGACGCATCAATTATTGTATTATCATTTAATTATTTTGTAACACATAAACATCTGTTTGGGCCTGGGACTGTAAAAATCTACTTCATGCCATCCCATTAGAAATAAAAAACAACCACAAGAAAAATTTACACACGCACTGACCATGAGTTTAGCACCCCTGACCACGAGGCAGCATGAGGTTATCAAAGCAATACTGAACTTACCTTTCCTTCTCCATTGTATTGCATTTCCAATTCTCTTTTTGTTGTGTCCTCTTTCGTGATAACTGGGGATTAGTTTCTTGTATTACATTATCCATTTTACTGTGAATAAACACCAATTTGTGCCCGTTAAGCTACACAAAACGCCACACAATGGCCGCCGGTCGGCTGTCATTTTCATACATAGTTCTGGCTTCTGATTGGTTGCACGGATTAGACCGATTTTGTTTCTAAGCTTAAAAAAGGATTTGACTGTTTTTGATACGAATTAGTCGATTTGAATCGATTTTTCTACGAACTGCTTAGGATTAGACTCTTTTTGAAACTGATAAAAGATACAACATTTTATATAGAAAAAAATGGGGTACTCAGTAAAAATGTCTTTATTTTGAATTTAACTAGTTTTGTTTCTAAACGACACAATTCACTCCTGATTTTTAAACATTTTTATAAACTTTTTTCATATATTTACTAAACAAAAAGGTATTAAGGCAATAAATATCAGTAAATAATATAATACAATACATTGTTACGACTGACCGGCATGCGAGCAGTTGCCACCAGGATTAAATTTACGTCTAAAGTCTAAAACATAACAACATGAAAACAAAAAATTATTTTAAGTAAGCAAACACTTAACTAAAAACAAAAATAAATCATCACATAATCTCGCAAATATAGCCTTAAACGACTTAACAATGAGAATGATATTGATCGCACACTGAACCAAAAATTCAGCAACGCATAATCTCGCAAAGCCAATATAGACTTTACGTACTAAGCAGTAAGGATAATATTGATCCCATATCTCAATGTGTAATAGATTTCGATATTTCATAGCCGACAAACCGAAATCTGAATCTTAAACTTCACGTCATCGAGAGAGACACTGAAAAAACGGATTTGGATTTCTACGCAATAGTTTGCGTTTAGATTTGGATACTGTCGATTTTATGTTCGATTTGAATTGGTTTGGTTGTGCAGATCGTAAGAGTTTAGCTAGTTAGGTCGATTTTTGAAATCGGATTTTCTAGTTTGAGCAATCTATACGAATCGATTTGTGTTTGAAATCGGATTTTAGATTCCTTTTGATATATCCGACTCATACCTATGATCTATTCCTTTAAATGCCCAACGCACAGCGTTGAAAATACAACACTGCTCGGTAAAAAAGCGTTGCGTTTTAAAAGCGCTTACATGTGAACATATACTTGGGTATGCATTTGTTCTATTTGAACGCTTTTTTAACGGACGTTATTTTCTATAATATGTTGATATCTGAAATATGTAACACGCATTGCAATATGAAGAACATTTATAATATTATATTCACAATGTCAAAAAGGGCGTTCTATTTAATGTAGTTTATTTTTCATTTGACTATTTAAGTATTTACTTACTTTTTTATCAATTCCAATAAAGTGTCTTTCTCAGACACTGTGTAATTGTATCCGCGTCTGTTCTTATTATCCATTTTAACGATAGTTTGTAGTCAATAATAAATAATAAAATTATACTTATAATTTGTAGTCTTCATATGAAAATTTTAAAATAATCAAATATTTTAATTAATTTTCAAATTTAAACTTTTGTACTCGGTCAACGAAACTGACAGTGACAGCACAGCACAAAGATTCTTGATTTGTTCTAAGACGATAGACAGAGTGGTTTTAACATAATATTATACTTTAATATGTACTTTTCATCGACAATATTTGAAAAAAATCACATAAATAACATTTAAAATTAAAGTATTGTTAGGAGATTATTGTTTAATATAATTTTAAAGCAAATCCAATATAAAATTATTTAAATATTTTCGAATGATGTTGCATAAAACGTATTTAAATTAACGTAAAATTGTCAAGAAGAACAAAGTTTTATATATAAATGTTACCATGACGTAAACATTTTAGGGCTACTCAGCTAATCATACCCTCAAATCACTTGAGTGATGTTTCTGTATTTCAGTTAAATTTGAGAAATTCTCAAATTTAGGGGACCTTTAATAAAGCGACAGATTTAAGTTGCGTTTCAGTATTCGGGCATAAGTCTGCTAGCGCCTGCAAATCCGAGGTTGTATGCGATGCTATTAGTGCCTGAATGCTATGTGGTAGACGGCTGCACCAGATGATCTTAAGAAAATAATCAGGTACGCTAGGTCCGGCAAGATGCTGTAGATTTTATCGCGTATATTTAACTTTTTAATTACTTTAACACTAGCTTCATCAGCGCTATTCTTGTATCCGAAACGTGGCTCAAACCATGTCTACCTTCTACCAGCTATTCACTACCAGGATTCAATCTTATTCTAAATGACCGAGTAGGCCAGAGTGGTGGTGGGGTAGCAATTTACCTTAGATATGATTTAAGATTATTAAATTGTCTACTCAAGCACCCTGGCCTAATGAAGCTCAACATATCTTGTTGGAAATTGTATAATCTAACACCAAAATCTTACTGGGCGTCTTTTATAGCCCATCCCTCCATGTGAATTATTTTCTCTCGTTTGAGAAAACACTTGAAGACCTGACTCCTCTATACAATCACATTATTCTTATGAGCGATTTTGACACTTTTTTGTTAAAGAATAATCACCGCACTAAAAAGCTGCGCTCTATTTCTGACTCGTGTAATTTACATATTCTGCCACTTAATGCTACACACACCTCGCCTAACTGTATTTCATCTCTGTTAGATCTTATCATAGTTTCATCTCTTGATCACGTGTCAAATGGTCAATATGCAGCTGTGGCATTTTCTTATCTTTCTGTCATATAAAATACGTACTCCCAAACTTCGAAGCAATGTACTGATGCTACGGAATTTCAGTGGGATGAATATAGAACGTTTACAAGAGGATGCCCGGAATGCTGACTGGTCTGCTGTATACTCTGCAGATTCTATAGACCTAAAAGTGGAAATATTTAATTACATTTTAATTGACCTTTATGACACCTATGCACCAATCAGACCAGTTAAAGTTAAACACACCCCTACACCTTGGCTAACGGACGATATTAAATCATTGTTAAAGAAGAAAAATAAAGCTAGGCTTATTTTATTTATAACAGTGATAAATCGGACCTCAATAGGGACAAGTATAGGATCATACGGAATCGCTGCAATACAATTTGTAGAGATGCACAACAACGCCATGTTCAAAGATCAGTCGAGAACGGAGACCCTGCAAAAATTTGGAAGTTTCTCAGATCTATAGGAGTTGGAAAATCCAAAGAATCTACTATTTCGAATGAAGACGTTGACATTGAATCATTAAATCAACATTTCTTATCTACCTCTTCGTTTTCAAACGATAATATAAAATCATATTGTTAGACATTGAGACAATGACCATAAATAGTAAACATAAAGCGTATGTCTATAACGCGACAAAAGGAAGACTCATGTTTTGTTATCTATGCTCATCTATGCCATATATTTCATTTTTACTCCCATTACGTACTAACCTTGTTTTTTTTTTCATACATATAAGAAAATTAAGATTAAATAAATAATTAAGTGCCATATTAAGTGTAATCATTATGAATATATTTCACATACACAATACATATACTTTAAACAATCTGTCCAAAGCATCAACTCCTAATTTCTCGCCGTTCACCTTCATACGATTTTCCGACTGTGATGTTAAGAAGAACGTTTTGTCCATATCGTCAAGTGCCATCGGATGTGATGAAATTAGCCGTAAAATGATCGTCCCCCTGATTGACATTATTCTCCCCATCTTAACTGATATTTTCAATTACTCCATATCCTCTGAATCCTTTCCTCAAATTTGGAAGGAAGCAAATATCATTCCTCTTCCTAAAAAGAAGAACTCCTGTTCTCCTTCAGATTATTGACCTATATCTATCCTTCCATTCCTTTCAAAAGTCCTTGAACGTTTAGTCTTTGCACATCTTAACCTCTTCTTAAATAAAAACTTCCTTCTTGACTCCTTTAATCGGGGTTCAGAATTGGTCATAGTACGGTTACAGCGTTACTTAAAATCACAGATGATATTCGCTGGGGTATGGATCAAAAGCAGCTCACTATACTAACGCTACTGGATTTAAGTAACGCTTTTAACACCGTCGATTTTGATGTATTGCTGAGTCTGCTACGTTCTATTAACATGTCTCCAGCGGCAATTGAATGGTTTCAAAGCTATTTGCGTGGCCGCTGGCAGCGGGTTATGGTAGGGGGTGCTACATCTTCGTTGTATGAACTAACTGCTGGTGTACCACAAGGTGGCGTGTTGTCTCCTGTCCTTTTTTCTGTGTTTATTAATTCTGTTACTTCACGAATTTCTTCTCTCTACCATTTGTATGCAGATGAAGAACCTTCCCAATGCCATCAATAACATTTATATGAATCTTGCTGCAATATGATTGGAGCAGGTCGTTCAGGCTTAATTTAAATCCCAATAAGACCCAAGTACTGTTATTTCCAGAATTTGTTAGGATAACCTACCAGCTATAGTTACTGATGGTGTTGTGATACCTTTTAGCAAATCTGTAAAAGACCTAGGGTTACACATTGATCAAAATCTTTCTTGGTCCCTACATATTAAAGAGTCCAATAGAAAGATGTTTGCGGCATCATCTTCCTTACGACGTTTGCGTAACTCATTATCCATTCCTACTAGAATTTTACTGGCACAGTCCTTGTTACTAACTATCCTTGATTATGCGGATGTATGCTACTCTAATCTTACTGAGGATCAATTAAATAAACTTGAGCGTCTTCAGAATTTCGCTATTAGGTTCATATTTGGCCTCCTCAAATAGGATCATGTTTCCGAGTTTCGTACTAAGCTCAAGTGGCTTCCTATCAGACTTCGTCGGAATACTCACATTCTATCTCAGCTGTACTGTATACTATTTGATCCTAAAACACCGATGTATTTAAAAGAAAAATTTGAGTTCACAGGTGCAGATAAAGAGCATTCCAGATTATCCGATTAACTTATTTTGCGAATGCCTGCTCACAACTCAAACTTTTTTAATTCCTCCTTTTGTGTCAAAGCAATTAAATTATGGAACTCGCTTCCTTCAACAATTAAGAAAGCCCAAAGCATTGAGTCTTTCAAAAA